GTGTGTGTGTGTGTGTGTGTGTGTGTGTGTGTGTGGCGAGACGGAGCTGCTGAGGCATCCACTTCACACCAATTTAGGTCATGCTAAACAAATCGTACTGGAGGAGGCACAGACAAATGGGAAAATGTATTCTCTTCTTGAGGAGATTTCATTTCTTAGCATGTTTACTGGGGTATATCACCACTAGCAGGGAGTTTATTTAGTGTCTGAAGGGATGTTTATATTTAATCATTGCTTATTATCACTAATGGTTAATGGTGACGATGTCACACAGTGTATATATTCTGTTTACAGCCATGTTGTATGTGCTGAGACCAGTTCAATGGAAGATTCTCCTTAGCAGGGGTTTTCCAGGGTTAAGCTCTTCTACCTTAACTTTCAAAAACATAAAAAACTGAAATTTGTGTACATTTCTGGCAGTACAGAGAAAAACAAGTCTGTAACAATATGAATAAAATATGTGGATTGCTTATGATTAGCATACTAATCGCTCATCATCATGGTAATCAGCTCATTTGTGACCTCAAATTGCTGAATGTTGGAAGGAAGTATTGGGACAGAAAAATCTAACTAAAGACTGAGTGAGAGATGCTCTGATCTCACATCAAGCACTGTACAGAACAATAAACACAGATGTGAATGTAAGGTAGTTTAGAAATATGAAGGAACAAATATCAATACAATGCATTTGTTATACAGTTGGTATCATCATGGGTGAAGGAATTATGTAACAGCATAGGAGTTATATGTATGTCGACAATGGCGGGATCAAATCTAACATTTGCCTTTTAATCTAAAATAAAATAATTTTCAAGAAGCTTCATTTTTGAGACCATGCTCATTTTATTTCCAAGATAAACCTATTCCCGACGTGTCAATATTAACATTCAATATGCCTTAGTTTTTCTTATTTATTAATTTACAGAGTTTATCTTTGTCAGGTGCATGGTCTCATTATTGACTTATTCAATGTATTCAATGAGAGAAAGCTTACCTACCTTTCCAAATCCTCTATCTTTGCATTTAATCATAAGATGTTTATTATTTGGTGGAATTTTATTGGCATTAGCCATTTTCACAGATTCATACAGTAGGTTCATACATTGATATCAACATTACATTCTATTTCACCCAAATATAATAAAGAAACCAGTATGAAATATGTTTTATATTGGGAGCCTGGCAATATTCCGGTACAATCATCTTACTATAAGTCAATTTGCAATGAACACCATCTGGGAATGATCACATTTTTTGGCATTAGATCATCAACTAATTTTCAATTCCACTTCATATTTAACTCAAATTAATCTGTAGTGTACATTTGCCTGCTTGCTGTAAATTGCAATCAGCAATCACTAATCATTTCACAGGATACACTATAGAATAGAAAATATAAGATTTGAAGATGGCTGTAAGCAATAACGGAATATGTAATTTTCATATATTCCTTTCATTGCAATAATTGACCTGGCACACACTGATCATAGACTTGTTCAATATGTCTCTGTGAGTAAGACGGGAACAGAAGACCTCATGATGTTGGTAGTGATCAATCACTGAAGATGATCACATGAACCTCTATAATGCCAATACATGTAAGGGCACTGCATAAAATCTCCAGCTAATGGAACATGCAGGGGGATTCATGGAGTGGATCCACACAGCCATACTGCCTAGTTAAAATGGAACGTTCAGGGCTCTGACAATGGAAGCTACAGAGTTGAGAGGAATAGAAAACCAAAGGGTTCAGAGGTCAGCAGAGAGTGCAGGCGTCTCATCAGTGTCACCAGCCGTTGACATGTCTCTGTGTTGCACCAGCAGTTGTATAAATATGTGTCATGTTTCACACTCCATGTCAGGAGGGAAGGCAACCCAGATGGGATTTTAAATGCTACATTTCATGTGTTATCATTTAGTGAGTTAGTTCACCCCTCATTGGTTTACCATCTGCTGCCCTCTCAGCTTTCACTATCTGAGTAGGATGGGAACATTCACATTGCACTGTACTCTACTCTACTGCCATAATGTCCTGATCTTACTGGGGACTCACTTCTAGCAATGGACTACATTCACCACATTTTACACAACTTAGTAAAATGAGTTAAATGTCTTTCAATAGAAACGGTCTCACAAATTTGTCTCACTATTTTTTTATATGGATAAAATACTGACATTTTAAGCTATTCAAGATAGTATTATGACTAAATAAAAAATAAAAAAAGTGACAACTCTTGCTTCTTTGTTTTGTGAAAAATATGTCACAGGCAATGCCGACAAAATGTTTTACTTAATCTGCTATGCTTCAACAGAGTTCAGGCAATAATAATGCGGTCTATTTTACCCAAAAAACTTTTGGCACTGACCTGATATGGGGAAAAAAACATTTGTATATATATTTTAAAAACTTTATCTATGTATGATAATACATTTTTCCTCTTATTTCCGAATACTTTCAATACAGTTGATTATTAACCTGCATCAGGGTACAATAATTTTGTAATATAGTACAACTTACCACTGACGTCAAAACTTGTTTTTGTGAAGAATCCATAGAGGGTAATGTTGTTTTCTTTTTGCCTTATTTCTATGGTTACAACAAGACATTTCAAAACAGACACTTCAGCTCAAACTCCGTTTGGCTTGTTGTATTCACGTTTAGGACAACCACATCGGTCAAATCTCTTGCAGTTTGAATTGTACAGCTTGAAGCCACACATTTATTTGAATTTGTGAGTTACATTATTCTTAATTGGGTGAGTTTATTCCTCTTACATCATCATTCATTTCTAAAGACGGTAGGCTAAAACGATTACAGGCAGAGTTCGACAATCAGCCAGTGCCCCCTCCCTTTATTGACGAGCTCCCTTTTCACACTTGTCAGAAAGCATACAGCCGCCGACTCGCCTCACCTTCCAAATATGCTTGTCGTGCTAACACTGCCCTCGATATGTTTGCATTTGACACTCCGAGAGGACATTTCATTTGAGTAGGGTTGAGGTGGGTTGGGGTGACATGTTTTGGGGTTGGGGGCTAGGGGCTAGGGGCTGGGGGCTGAGAATAAGGTGTTTTCGAATTTTCCTCAATTTGAAGACCATGACAAAGCCTATTTTCTAAATTTAGTGTAAAATGAGGTGGTCAATAGGTTATTGGTGTGATATCGTCGGATAAACTTGTTTGTTAGCCTAATGGTGAATATTAAGTAAACTAAGTCTGACAACTGCTTTAGAATTTATCAGAATTTGCTCATTAGTAAAACAGTGAAAACTAAACAAAAAATAATGAAATATTGAGAGAACATGCTCCATCGCGATGTCAGTGTTGGATGTGTACACGGAGGAGGAGGGGGGGCGACTTTCAGATGACATTGACGCTATGTAGATGGGAGTTGAGAATTGCGCTCCCCTCAACGTTTCAGGTTGTTGATGTTAGACAGTCGCGAAGCGGCTGCTTCTCGTGTTGATTTAGCCACCTCGTCAGCACCGCGCGCCGCTGGACAGCTCCCCGCAGCGGGATAGGTGTGAGCTCTCCTCTAGGACACTTTTGGCGCTTGTTCCAAGTCTTTTAATGGAAAAACAATATCTTTATGTTCCAAGTAAAACTGGAAGTTTACAACTTCAGAGGGAATCTACGGATACCTCGTTTCGAGATTTGTGGCAGACAGCACATCCTCGGTGGCAGAGAGCGCAGCTTCATTGTGAGTAAATTGGATTATTTTATGTGTGTGTGAATTCCATACCAATGCGTTTCGCGGTGTTACAATTCCGTGAATCGTTCATAGTCAGTGATAAAGCAGCAAGCAAGACGGTGATTTAACTCGTAGTTTAACGTGACAGTATGGAACTGTTGTAACCATAATGACTTTAGGTAATAAAGGACCTTGTTTTATAGCCAATTAAATGCAGAATAGACGGCTCTCCTGGATGATTGAATGGTTCATATAACTGTGTACATTTTTTGTCATATAGGAGTGCATTTGGTTCTCTATTCCTCGAATGTAATGGAAGGCTATTTGTGCAGCCTGGTGCGTAAAGCTTTACGCTTTGGGCATTCCTTTGTCTCCCCAATGCAATTGTGATTCAGTTTGGTTGAGACATTGCTCTCGGTTTTTCTGTCCACTTAAATCAGTGCATAGGTAGTGCATCGGTAATAAGTAAGCTTATCTGCATGTGTCAGTTGCACGGTGTAATTGTTGCTCTCTCAGATTGGATATGCATATGTAATTGTCGAATGTTATGTTGCGATGTTGCGTTTTACGCGTGAGCTGGATGGCTTTGATTATGACAATGTCTGAAAGTTTTTTTCTTTGCAAATGATGATGCATTTGGTGATGGGCATACTCGACATTGGACTGTATTCAATTGCAAATTGTGTTGATTTGATTGTAAGAATATTGGGGGTGAGAGAAGTCGGCTATATAGCCTATAATCAACCTACGCACAACCTTATCGTCTGCGTTGTTATATGGGAGAAAAAGTCCTATGCCATCATTAATGTGCCATCATTGTTTTTTGATAGCATTGTTGTGTCTCAGACTCTGCATTGCATATATTTGGCGAGACTGTTATTAGTGTCTAGAGTGGAATCGATCGAAAAAAATCTAACTTTGAAAATGCATTTTATTTTCAGTTGCTTACAAATAGCCTTGGTGTGTATTGAACAGTCAAGCTACATACAATGCCTGTAAATGCCAGCGGTTTGTAATTCAGTCATTATTGAATTCGTTCTTAAATTGCATTCCCATTCTGGAGCTAATAAATTGTAAACGTAATCATGTTGTTTAATCAATTTCCCAATTTGAGTGCGCACTCAAAAACCGACAAATCACTGTATTCACCAATTCCAGGTTAACGGCAACAGACGAGCCGTGTCCCCATAGCCTTCACCTGCTTCCAAACATTTGGTTAAGAGGTTTTCCAAAAACCGCGAAGCTGCTGTCTGCGTGGACTGGTGCTGAAGCTCCCCTTTCAAAGGCCAGGACCACTACCAAATCGAGAGACATGGCGACGAACGGCACCAAAACGGATGGACAAGTAACAGAACTTAACGAAGTGGCAACTAATGACAAACCCAAGTCACTGGACGTGAAAGGGGAAAAGACGAAAAAGGATCTTCCCGAAAGAGAAACATGGGGAGGGAGATTCGATTTCCTTCTGTCCTGTGTAGGTTATGCAATTGGACTGGGCAACGTATGGAGATTTCCATATCTCTGTGGAAAAAACGGTGGAGGTAAACACGATTTAAAAAAGTAATATATAACCTACATATAACCTAACTAATTTCACTCTTCAGTAGGCCTAAGTGCTTCGTCGATTTCGAGCACCCTAATTATTATGAAAAGTGAATACCTCAATGTCCCTTGTGTAAGAGCGCAGATACGCATTTTTCATTTCCTAATTTAATATGATTCCAATTAGCTTCCACAGTGGGCTGTAAGTAACATTCCATTGCTCATGTCTTGTTTTATTCTGCCATTTATATTTGGTTTGATTTACTTGTGTCAATGCAGGAGCCTTCTTGATCCCCTATTTTTTGACACTCATATTTGCTGGGATGCCCCTGTTCCTGCTGGAGACCGCTCTTGGTCAGTACACCTCAATTGGTGGGCTTGGCGTCTGGAAACTGGCTCCTGTGTTCAAAGGTATGCATTCTACTCATGCAATGCTCTTACTTTATGTCTAAAAGCATTTTTTTTGTATCAAATCAAATTCCTAGTAGTCAGGTGGCCCCTTGTGCACCTATCTTTATTGTATGGTAATTATGGCCATCATGATCATCAACAACAAAAGATACAAAGTGTTCTTCTGTAAGTCTCTGTGAATATGCTGGAGCGTTAGGAGCATGCACAAAAAATGTCATCAATTTCCATCTCATAGGTGTTGGCCTTGCAGCAGCTGTCCTGGCCTTCTGGCTTAACATTTATTACATTGTCATCATTGCCTGGGCCATTTACTATCTCTACAACTCCTTTACCACTGTAAGTACCACACCTTTACCTCCTACAAACCACATGGGGATGAGACAAACACGGGTTCCAGCTTTGCTCTCTGCTCTCTGAGGATTGTAACATGCTTGTTGATGCCATGTGAGATCTCTCATTGTGTCAAGGAGGAAAGCATACATTATGCTTCAGTTTTTCTACGTTATCTTTCTGTTTTTCAGGAACTTCCATGGAGCTCATGTGGCAATCCATGGAACACAGAAAAGTGTTACTCAAACTACAGTATAGTTGATAACACCAATCTTACCAGTGCAGTGATGGAGTTTTGGGAGTAAGACATTGACTGCTTGTTTTGTTTTTTGTTGCTTCAGCACAGCATTACAGTACCCTGCATGACTGCTTGAGAAGTATAAAAGGAAATTCCCTTTGCTGCAAAGCATTCTCCCAGTCTGTATAATAGTCTTATTGTTACTCGTTCTGATCTTATAGGCGCAACATGCATCAAATGACCGATGGCTTGGAAAAACCAGGGCAGATCCGAGCACCACTGGCAATAACACTGGCCATCGCTTGGGTCCTAGTGTACTTCTGTATCTGGAAAGGGGTGAGCTGGACTGGCAAGGTAAGAGATTGGTTTCTCATGGCAGATTTAGGTAAATGGAAAAGCTCTCTGTCATCCAATGTGTGACAGTGATGCAATATTAATCGTTGTCATATCACCTTCATCAATCATTTATATTGCACTAACTATTGCCCAGATAGACTTTTAGAATGAGAGGAGAGACATCAAACCCTCATGTTCAGTAATCATATTCAGGCTCATGGGGCCTTCTCTAATTCCAATTCTCCTGATACAGAATTGGGGGGAAATTTGATGATGATGAGGAGGAGCGAACAAGCCCTCTAAAATCTGTTTTTTTCCCCCCTCCTCTCCCCTTCAGTTGGAACAATGTTACCCCCTGGTGTTGCTACGTTTTGGAAATCTAATGTGTCATGTGACCATAGAAAATTAAACTAGTTGTGGTCATAAAACGCAACACCCCCCTCCCCCCACACCCTGCGTTTTTTGCTTTCAAATCTCATATGGGGTATAATAAAAGCATAGTGAGACGGCGTCTAATTAAATTGTTTCTGTTCTCTGTGCGAGAGATTGGAGGACAATACATCCATTGGTTTTCCTCTCTAATGAAAAGGCCTTTGTTTAAGTAGAGACTGAATTGCAAATGCGTTAATTCGTATAGCTCATCTGCACCTAACAGTGTTAACATGCATTCATTTCCTGCTGATGTTGACTCATTTATTTCATTTTCTAGGTTGTGTACTTCTCAGCCACGTACCCCTATTTCATGCTTTTCATTCTGTTCTGCCGTGGAGTGACTCTACCTGGTGCTATGGATGGAATTCTCTTCTATATCACCCCTAACTTTGAAAAACTAAAAGAATCTGAGGTAATGAATGAACTTATCATTATATGTAAGATAAATACCTGTATGGGAGTCATTCATTTTTCAGCCTCCTTTGTCAAACGGCTAAATGGTTCTCTCCCTTTGTCAGGTATGGCTGGATGCTGCCACTCAGATATTTTTCTCCTACGGTTTGGGACTGGGCTCACTGATAGCTCTTGGCAGCTATAACCCTTTTAATAATAATGTTTACAGGTAAGATGGAGGTAGGCTTCTATTAAATGGAAAGATAATGTATCAGACAAGACCTGAAAATGCAACCATTAGACCAGTATACCTTAACAGTAAATGTGACTGTAAAGTGGACCTTTCTATCAGCCATGTACAATGAGAAGCCTAAATCAACGTTATAACAATCGATAAAGTATACTGAACAAAAATATAAACGCAACATGCAACAATTTCAACTATTTTACTGAGTTACAGTTCATTTAAGGAAATCAGTCAAATTGAAATAAATTCATTAGGCCCTAATCTATGGATTTCACATGACTGGGCAGGGGCACAGCCTTAGGTGGGCCTGGGAGGGCATATGCCCACCCAATCAAAAAAAAAACATTCCCACAAAAGGGCGGCTTGGAGGCGGCTTATGGTAGACAAATTAACATTCAATTATCTGGCAACAGCTCTGGTGGACATTCCTGCAGTCAGCATGCCAATTGCACGCTCCCTCAAAACATGAGACATCTGTGGCATTGTGTTGTGTGACAAAACTGCACATTGTAGAGTGGCCTTTTATTGTCCCCAGCACAAGATGTAATGATCATGCGGTTTAATCAGCTTCTTGATATGTCACACCTGTCAGGTGGATGGATTATCTTGGCAAAGGAAAAATACTCACTAACACTTTACATGTTGCGTTTATATTTTTGTTCAGTATATTATGATTCAGTCTGATATGGGGTCCTTCATATGGCTTTGGATGTGGATAGCATACATCAAATGAACAACAATTTCACAACCTCTTCCCCAAACAGCACATCCATGGTTCTAGGTCACACAAATTGTTCATCAGTTATATAATGATACAGTCTCAACTTGCGTTTATTTCAATTGACTTGTTGTTTATTAGCGACCCAATATTATTTAGCTACAGGCCACACTTTATATCATGCAATTAGGTTTGTAAATAAGGATTGATTTTGGAAAACTCTTCTTTGCAAATAGGGGCTTGGCATCCATTACAAATGGACATTGCGTTATTTAATATTTAGGTATTACTGTGATATTAAGCTTATTTGGAAAAAATAACATTGTTCCCCATTGGAATGTTATACAAAAAGCAAATTGCATATTTTTTACAATCTGATTGCACACCTTATGTGGCCAATATAAATATGTTATTAAGCAGGGATATGTTTTCCACTCAGCAATAATAAGGAATAAGCTCTCTCTCCTGAGAAGGGCCTTTTTAGGAATCCATGATGATGTTACAGAAGAGATGACAGATCACCTTAAGCTGTGACAACAGGACGTTTTCATGTTTCTTTCCCCCAGAGACTCTATCATAGTGTGCTGCATCAACTCCTTCACCAGCATGTTTGCGGGCCTTGTCATCTTCTCTATTGTGGGCTTCATGGCGAATGTGACTAACAGGCCCATACAAGAAGTCGCAGCTTCAGGTAAACTCAATGCACCCTCAGAGCACAATAGGGGAGTAATGCTGTCTATTCTGACTCCTGCTCACTGCTTCAATCAACACAGAGAAATGCAGCTTGGAGAACTGTGAGCTAATGTGTTGTGTTGTGTGTTTGGTATGCAGGTCCAGGCCTGGCTTTTCTGGCGTACCCTGAGGCTGTGACCCAGCTGCCTATTTCTCCTCTCTGGGCTATCCTGTTCTTCTCAATGCTGCTGATGCTGGGGATTGACAGTCAGGTAAGGCTGTTTTCAGTGACTGCTCCCAGATCTGTTGGCGCTTCAGCCCAATCCTCTCACTATTGTTGTCATGCCATGTCAGGGGAGTTGGCTAAAACACCTACAGATCTGGGACCAGGCTACTTAGGTTCTGATCTAAATGTGTAAGCACAGGTATGTATGACACTGGTTTTCTCTGGTCTCTCCACATGAGAAGCAAACAGGGCTAATTTCAATTTTTTCCTAGTGGACAGATATATTGTAGCTGAGCCTTGACTTTTACTGTCAACTCCTTTTAATGCAACTATATCACCTCTCTCTCTGCCCCCGGGTGCTCTGTTCTCATGCTTTCACCTTGTGTATGATATTTTGGTAGCCTAACTCTAAGGCCACTGAGTCTGCTAGCAATTATACTAAATGCTGCTACTCCCGTTTACACAAAACAGATAAATCACAACATTACACACTTGTGCTCTGACTATATTTGTGACTAACCTTTATTTTTATATCGAATGGATTTGTAAATGTTTGTACATACAGCAAGATAAATGGCTATTTTACATGTTAAAGTTATATTTTCAAGGTGGCTGCCAAAATGGGGTTGCTAGTGCTTAGAAACTAATCAAAATACACTATATATACAAAGGTATGTGGACACCCTTTCCAATTAGTGGATTCGGCTGTTTCAGCCACACCCGTTGCTGACAGGTGTATAAAATCGAGCACACAGCCATGCAACGTCAGCACAATAACTGTTTGTCGGGAGCTTCATGAAATGGGTTTCCATGGCCAAGCAGCCGCACACAAGCCTAAGATCACCATGCACAATGCCAAGCGTCGGCTGGAGTGGTGTAAGGCTTGCCGCCATTGGACTTTGGAGCAGTGGAAACGCGTTCTCTGGAGTCATGAATCACAATTTGGCAGTCTGACAGACAAATCTGGGTTTGGCGGATGCCAGGAGAACACGACCTGCCCGAATGCATAGTGCCAACTGTAAAGTTTGGTGGAGGAGGAATAATGGTGTGGGGCTGTTTTTCATGTTTCAGGCTAGGCCCCTTAGTTCCAGTGAAGGGAAATCTTAACGCTACAGCATACAATTACCTTCTAGACGATTGTGTGCTTCCAAATTTGTGGCAAAAGTTTGGGGAAGGCCCTTTCCTGTTTCAGCATTACAATGCCCCCTGTGCAAAAAGCGATGTCCATACAGAAATGGTTTGTCGAGATCGGTGTGGAAGAACTTGACTGGCCTGCACAGAGCCCTGACCTTAACCCCATCGAACACCTTTGGGATGAATTGGAACACCGACTGCGAGCCAGGCCTAATAGCCCAACATCAGTGCCAGACCTCACTAATGCTCTTGTGGCTGAATGGAAGCAAGTCCACGCAGCAATGTTCCAACATCTGGTGGAAAGCCTTCCCAGAAGAGTGGAGGCTGTTATAGCAGCAAAGGGGGAACCAACTCCATATTAATGCCCATGATTTTGGAATGAGATGTTCAATGATCAGGTGTACACATACTTTTGGTCATGTAGTGTATATACAGTACAGTGCATTCGGAAAGTATTCAGACCCCTTCACTTTTTCCACATTTTGTTACGTTACAGCCTAATTCTAATACAGCCTTATACACAATACCCCATAATGACAAAGCGAAAACAGGTTTTTATTTTCTTGTGCAGATGTATTCAAAATAAAAACAGAAATACCTTATTTACATAAGTATTCAGACCCTTTGCTATGAGATTCGAAATTGAGCTCAGGTGGAATTCTGTTTCCATTGATCATCCTTGAGATGTTTCTACAACTTGATTGTAGTCCACCTGTGGTAAATTCAATTGATTGGACATGATTTGGAAAGGCACACACATGTCTCTATAAGAATTGTCCGTAGAGCTCCGAGACAGAATTGTGTCGAGGCACAGATCTGGGGAAGGGTACCAAAAAATGTCTGCAACATTGAAGGTCCCCAAGAACAGTGGCCTCCATCATTCTTAAATGGAAGAAGTTTGGAACCACCAAGACTCTTCCTAGAGCTGGCCGCCCGGCCAAACTGAGCAATTGGGGTAGAAGGGCCTTGCTCAGGGAGGTGACCAAGAACCCGATGGTCACTCTGACAGACCTCCAGAGTTCCTCTGTGGAGATGAGAGAACCTTCCAGAAGGACAACCATCTATGCAGCATGCCACCAATCAGGCCTTTATGGTAGAGTGGCCATACGGAAGCCACTCCTCAGTAAAAGGCACATGACAGCCCGCTTGGATTTTGCCAAGAGGCACCTAAGGACTCTCAGACCATGAGAAACAAGATTCTCTGGTCTGATGAAACCAAGATTGAACTCTTTGGCCTGAATGCCAAGCGTCACGTCTGGAGGAAACCTGGCACCATCCCTATGGTGAAGCATGGTGGTGGCAGCATCATGCTGTGGGGATGTTTTTCAACGGCAGGGACTGGGAGACTAATAAATATAGAGGGAAAGATAAACAGAGCAAAGTACAGAGAGATCCTTGATGAAAACCTGCTCCAGGATGCTCAGGACCTCAGACTGGGACGAAGGTTCACCTTCCAACAGGACAACGACCCTAAGCACACAGCCAAGACAACACAGGAGTGGCTTCGGGACAAGTCTCTGAATGTCCTTGAGTGGCCCAGCCAGAGCCCGGACTTGAACCCGATCGAACTTCTCTGGAGAGACCTGAAAATAGCTGTGCAGCGACGCTCCCCATCAAACCTGATAGAGCTTGAGATGATCTGTGGAGAAGAATGGGAGAAACTCCCCAAATACAGGTGTGCCAAGCTTGTAGCGTCATACCCAAGAATACTCGAGGCTGTAATCGCTGCCTAAGGTGCTTCAACAAAGTAGTGAGTAAAGGGTCTGAATACTTACGTAAATGTGATTTCTCTGTTTATTTTATTTTATAAATTAGCACAAAAAAAAGAAGTTTTTGTTCTGTCATTATGGGGTATTGTGTGCAGATTGATAAGGGGAAAAAACTATTTAATCCCTTTTAGAATATGGCTGTAACGTGACAAAATGTGGAAAAAGTGAAGGGGTCTTAATACTTTCCGAATGCACTGTATATATATTTATACAAAATCTAAATAAAATATATATATACTTTTTTTACCATTTATTTAGGTAGTTCTGGATAATATGTAGGTTATTACAATCTATTGCTTTCCATGATCTGAATTAATTCAATATAATCCATCAATATCCATAATCTTGGTCATTAGTTACAACTGTTACATGGTTATCATACTACTACATGAACCACCATGTTATAAATAAACAAATGTATATTTGCCCATTCAGTAAAATGAATGTACAACAGGGATACTATCCTTCTAGGGATCCATGTCCCAGTAATATACAATTGCACTTTTCTGGTCCTTTGAAGTTTTTTCTTTATACAAATAACAATTTAACAAATTATGCAGTTGATAAAAATGCATTTATTGTGAAAATATTACAAATAGGAACAACAGTATCAATTATAGAAGAAACATTAAGTGTTGCCTTGCATAGATACTAAGGAAAGTACTGTAAATATCTCCCCTTTTTAACTGAGCGGCCCCCATTTTGTGTGTGTAGTTCTGCACAGTGGAGGGCTTTATAACAGCTCTGGTGGATGAGTTTCCCAGGGCACTGAGGGGCAGGAGAGAGCTCTTTATCGCTGCTGTCTGCCTGGTCTCCTACTTGATCGGCCTGTCCAACATCACACAGGTATAGCACACCCAGCTCTCGCTCGCTCTCTCTCTCTCTCTCTCTCTCTCTCTCTCTCTCTCTCTCTCTCTCTCTCTCTCTCTCTCTCTCTCTCTCTCTCTCTCTCTCTCTCTCTCTCTCTCTCTCTCTCTCTCTCTCTCTCTCTCTCTCTCTCTCTCTCTCTCTCTCTCTCACGTCACTGTGTCAATTCCACTAATGTCAATGACCAACCATCAAGTTAACCTCCAAGCTCAATGATACAGTATTTGATAAAACATTGGAATTACATTGGATAGCACTATCGCTGTTTAATTTAATTTATATAAAAAAAGATTTGTTTAGAGTAGACCATTCTGTTTGTTTGATTACACATGCTGTTGAAATCAGATCCCAACACTCATCTTTCCATCTGAGATGAGGACATTGATATAATGTGGAGACCACAGACCACTGCATATGGGTTCTTATCATAGTGTGACTCATCCATCTGTGTTGTGTCACTAGGGAGGCCTGTACGTGTTCAAGCTCTTCGACTACTACTCTGCCAGTGGGATGTGTCTGCTCTTCCTGGTCTTCTTCGAGTGCATCTCCATATCCTGGTTCTATGGTAGGTAGAGTCTCTAGGCAACATCAAATACACACACTAAGCTACATTATTACAGTGAACAGTATACATCAGAAACACCCTTTTTCAACATGACAAAATGACTTGTAACAGTGATGTATGCTCAGGCAAGTTTGTGAAAAAGCAATTAAAGCGTTCTTTCTCTGTTCCTAAAATGAGGTGATGAACAATGAATGAACTAGACGGTCTAGGTAAATTTGAAAGTTGAATGATAGAATAACCTCCCACCTGTCCAAAGACATTAGTCCAGCTTCAACCCCTGTTTACCCTTAGGGACATCATCTCTGCTCACGTGTCCTACACTACACCACCTCTCCTCCCTCATCACAATTCATGGCAGACTAGCGGTAAATTGGAAGAAATTGAATTTGAATACTTTGATCATGCATTCATTTGTCTCGCAGGTGTGAACAAGTTCTATGACAACATCCAGGAGATGATTGGCTACAAGCCCTGTATATGGTGGAAGCTGTGCTGGGTCTGTTTCACCCCTCTCATTGTGGCCGTAAGTAGTACACCATACACATCCAATACAACATCATGACATGAAAAATGAAAAGAACAAATAACATTAATAGTGATAATAGGGACCACAATGGAAATAAATCCCTGACTTTATTGTGCAATCCAGGTCACGTTTAAAGAAAGCCTTGTACTGTGTATATATGTATTATTTTTTATGTCAAATAAAATCAATCAATCAGTCACTGACCTGCCTCAAGCAATTCTGAGACAGAGACAGAAAGTGCCTGAGAAGCGGTGGTGTCAGGATTAATTAGGATCGTACCATGTCTCCCACAGGGGGTGTTCCTGTTCAGTGCAGTCCAAATGGTTCCTCTCACCTTGAACAACTATGTGTTCCCCGCCTGGGGCCAGGGAGTGGGCTGGCTCATGGCTCTGTCCTCCATGGTCCTCATTCCTGGTTACATGGTCTACATGTATCTCGGACTCAAGGGCACCTGGAAAGAGGTAAGTAACATGGCGACATAATGGATATTCAATGCAATTTGGTGATGATTGATATGTAACCATAATGGTTAAAAAAAATGTGTTTAAGAACTAGTAAAAAATATAATTTCAGTCAGGTTCTCCTCTCTGGACATGTTGGAGATGCACTCATTGTGTTACTTAATTAACTGTTTTGTTGTGAATTTTTATCAGCGCCTGCAGATAATGTTTCAGCCTCCTGCAGTGGTCCGACGGCCACAGGAGAATGGGCCTGAGACAGTGGTTACGGAGACCAACATAGCTAGTCCTTCTAACCCGGCCAACCCAGATAGCCCTGCCAACCCAGATAGTCCTGCCATCCCGGCTAGTCCTGCCAACCCAACTGCTACAAGCCCGGTTTCTGCAGCCCCGGCCAGCCCAACACCTCCAGCCATTCCAGCTACTCTGGCTAGCCCTGTGAACCCAACCAGTCCGACCGTCCCAACCGTCCCTACCGTCCCTATCATTCCAGCCAACCCAACCAGCCCTACCAGCCCACCACCCAATCCAGTTAGCCCAATGCCAACGGAGCCAGCCATCACACCACCCAACATAGCGAGCTCAACCAACTTAACCAACCTTACCAACCTAACCAACGCAGAGGCCAATGTCTAGACAAGGCACAACCCTCATGGAGAAAGTGTAGTCAACAGCGAACATTACCAAGGACTTCCAAGATTTTAATTGATTCACCTACCTCCATCTGCAATATCTGATCAAACCAGATTGAAAAATCATGTTTAATTTTTCTGCATTTGTAAAGCCAACCTGGTAATGTTTTTTTTTATTGGTATGCATTACAATTACAAAAATCAAAGACTGTTAGTGTTCACAAAATCTACTGTAATCTGGGAAGAAAAAAAAATGTAAGCATACTGTGTAATACTGTGAGAGAGAAAAAACGATTGAAAAAATAGAATAGCAATTTGTTGAATATCTTCATGAACCAAGTAAATACAGTGTGACTATAGTAGAGATGAAGTTCTAGTGAACGAAATGGTCACCATGGGAGAGTGCAAGGGACGGGGTCAAATTATTGTGGTTGTTTACTAAGCCTTACTTGCACTCTGTGGGGCTGATTACAGGCCACATGGCAATGAGGGAACTCTGATGAAGAAGCACAATGCCAATAAGAAGTTTAAAGTCTATGAACCCTGGATTTATCCAGTATATCTGTTGCAAAATATTTTCTGTGTGAGAGAGACTGTTATTCTATCTTTTTTTTTGTATTTTTTTTTTTACTTTAATGTGATTTAAACCTTTTTAGAATTATTTTTAGAATGTTTTCTACTATAAGTGTTGTGACCGAGGACCAAAATTGTAGGCAGATGAAAGCAAAAATGATCTATGCCATGCAGTGTTCAGTTTGCGAAGCACAGGGTATCAAAAACGTACATAAAATGCAAAAGCACAGGGTATAGAAAAGTGATTTACAAACATTGACTATCCCTTAATGCTGACAGTCAATCCTGTTTACTTTTTTTGCATGCTTTCCTCAGTAACATCAGAGAAAATTCCAAAATGTCTCCTGACAGATCTAAAACGAGAATAGAGAAGGGTTTAAGCCAGTTATCAACCAATTTATACCAAGCCATAGTCTGTTTGCATGACTCGGCTGATCTCCAGAATATCACTTTGTACGCTAGCAAACAATATTGGACCAACTCTATGTTTAAAGATAGTCCTTTTTTGTTCACTCTTATGTGTAATGATCAATTATAGTTTGATCAATATGTATTCAGCAATACATATGTAGATGTATAGGTGCAGGCCAGTAGAAGAGTGGTCTGTTTCTAATTTTCTTTTCGTTGTCTTTGCTTTACTAGTGAAAAGCACAAAGCTTTATCTTTTGCCATGGTATGTTAAGACAATGCTAGTTTGCTTCTATGGCAGCTACAGTGAAAAGCATTTGATCCAACAAAACAAGTTTACTTTGAAAAGCAAAACAACTAAGTGAAAATGTGAAATGGCTACAGTTCATGTCCTGTCACTTTTGTATAAAGTTACTCTACCACAGTTTTCTCTGGAACCTTGTTGTAAAACTGTACTGTGTAAAACACGTAACTGTGAATGTTTGTAATACATTGGAAGTTATTGTCTAAATGTTGAAAAAATTCTAAAGGAGTTGCTGTTTTCTGCAATAATATTTTCACAGAAACTAAAGCACATATCTAACAGAAATATACAAAATTATGATGACAATGAAGACATTGACGATTATGTTAAAAATAGAAACTATGTCTAGTAAAAAATGATATTGTTTTGTATATTTTTAACTGTCTCACTGCCTAAGGTACAACATAATATTAACATGATATGTATTTAAATGGTGTCATATGATAAAGCACGATTGTCATGTTATACAAAAAGAAAAAAGCAGAAAAAATAAAGAATTATAGAAAATATGAATAACTGTCCTGCATTTGTTAATTTCTGCACTCAAGCATAATGTAATGTTTTCTGTACAGTAGCTTTTGATGTTGTGAAATTAGGTCACCATAATAGACCTCTCAAATACTAAACAGAAAACATTAGCAACACCTGCTGTTTCCATGACATAGACTGACCAGGTGAATCCAGGTGAAAGCTATGATCCCTTATTGATGTCACTTGTTAAATCCACTTCAATCAGTGTAGATGAAGGGGAGGAGACAGGTTAGAGAAGGATTTTTAAGCCTTGAGACAATTGAGACATGGATTGTGTATGTGTGCCATTCAGAGGGTGAATGGGAAAAACACAATATTTAAGTACCTTTGATCGGGGTATGGTAGTAGGTGTCAGGCACACCGGTTTGAGTGTGTCAAGAACTGCAACGCTGCTGGGATTTTTCACGCTCCACAGTTTCCCGTGCGTATCAAGAATGGTCCACCACCCAAAGGACATCCAGACAACTTAACACAACCATGGGAAGCATTGGAGTCAAAATGGGCCAGCATCCCTGTGGAACGCTTTCGACACCTTGTAGAGCCCATGCCCCGATGAATTGAGGCTGTTCTGAGGGCAAAGGGGGGTGCAACTCAATATTAGGAAGGTGTTCCTAATGTTTTGTACACTCAGTGTATATTCTGCATCAAACCTCTGAGTAGTAATTGGCCATTGTTTTGAATCTCTGAAAAGAGACACTAGATATTTGTAATTATATTTGTAATTAATAGATTTACATACTTAAGAAAATGCTATCTAGAAAAAAACATGTAAGGATTTGTAGCAAATATATAGCAAGAATGGAAAAGCATATGAAGGCAATTGCTAATTACTAATACCATGGAGGTGTACTATAGGACCAGGTGGGAGACTAGAAATGCAATGTAAATCTCTGGTTCAGTATACCGGGGGAAGAAATCCTGCCAAAGTAAACAGTAGCCCAGGCCAACGTGTTCACTACAATAAATAATTTAAAACCAAAACATTTGGCTTTTGGAGAGTTTAGAACAACCGTGAAAAGACAATGAGAGCAAAATGTCGGAAACCTTCCCTTGTGATGTACAGTAGTGTGTCAGAAACACAGTCTGATAGCGAAGCCTCAGCAGGCTAGAAAAACATCACCACAAAACATCTCTGGCCCCGGGGCCTGGTGTGACGACCCGCCTCATCTCCCCAACCTCTTACAGCTGTGTGTGTCTTCCTTCCTTGTCCCCACCTCCTGCAGTTGCTGCATCCATTAGCTTCCAGTGTGATAAACGAGACGGCACCAGCTGACACCACAACAATGACTCGCTAACAATGAGACATACCCTCTAGTAGCTTGTGGCAAAGTGTGTGTGTGTGTAGGCGTGCGTGTGTACGTGCGTGTGTGTGTGTGTGTGTAGCTGCATAGCATATTGGGTGTTGAATAATGCCCATAATGACAGTTCATATAAACTAGCCGATGATGGATGGCTTAGTAGCCTCCCCATTCCCAGTAGTGTCATTTAGCATAATTACCCATGAAAACCAGTCACCGCTGAGGCAACTGAAGCTGATGTCTTATGTCCACAAAGACAATGGATCATCATTTTCAGCTGGGGAGGACACAATAAGGAAGCTCTTGATTAGTTGGACGCAATCTAGCAGAACACAATTAGTCTTCTATTCCGACCAATCAAAATCCAGCATTGCAGCATCAAATTGTGATAAATATAACACAATTTTCATTGGAAATACAAGTCTTTCTCCACATGGAGACCCATAAAGATACATACATTGACTGTTAATGATACATACACCAATTTATTTTTTTACCTTTACCATACATACCAATGGAGGGTGCTGAGGGGAGGATGGCTCATAATAATGGCTGGAATGGAGTTAATGGAATGGTATCAAACATGTTTTCTTTGGTTTTCATGTGTTTGATACCATTCCATTCACTCCATTCCAGCCATTATACTCCATTCCAGCCATTATTATGAGCCGTTCTCCCCTCAGCTGCCTCCATTGATACATACAGAACTAAGAACAGATATACAGTGAGGGAAAAAAGTATTTGATCCCCTGCTGATTTTGTACGTTTGCCCACTGACAAAGACATGATCAGTCTATAATGTTAATGGTAGGTTTATTTGAACAGTGAGAGACAAAATAACAACAAAAAAATCCAGAAAAATATTATTAATTGATTTGCATTTTAATGAGGGAAATAAGTATTTGACTCCTTTTCAATCAGAAAGATTTCTGTCTCCCAGGTGTCTTTTATACAGGTAACGAGCTGAGATTAGGAGCACACTCTTAAAGGGAGTGCTCCTAATCTCAGCTTGTTACCTGTAGAAAAGACACCTGTCCACAGAAGCAATCAATCAATCAGATTACAAACTCTCCACCATGGCCAAGACCAAAGAGCTCTCCAAGGATGTCAGGGACAAGATTGTAGACCTACACAAGGCTGGAATGAGCTACAAGACCATCGCCAAGCAGCTTGGTGAGAAGGTGACAACAGTTGGTGCGATTATTCGCAAATGGAAGAAACACAAAAGAACTGTCAATCTCCCTCGGCCTGGGGCTCCATGCAAGATCTCACCTCGTGGAGTTGCAATGATCATGAGAACGGTGAGGAATCAGCCCAGAACTACACGGGAGGATCTTGTCAATGATCTCAAGGCAGCTGGGACCATAGTCACCAAGAAAACAATTGGTAACACACTACGCCGTGAAGGACTGAAATCCTGCAGCAACCGCAAGGTCCCCCTGCTCAAGAAAGCACATATACAGGCCCGTCTGCAGTTTGCCAATGAACATCTGAATGATTCAGAGGAGAGCTGGGTGAAAGTGTTGTGGTCAGATGAGACCAAAATCGAGCTCTTTGGCATCAACTCAACTTGCCGTGTTTGGAGGAGGAGGAATGCTGCGGGAAAATGTATGAAAATGTATGACCCCAAGAACACCATCCCCACCGTCAAACATGGAGGTGGAAACATTATGCTTTGGGGGTGTTTTTCTGCTAAGGGGACAGGACAACTTCACCGCATCAAAGGGACGATGGACGGGGCCATGTACCGTCAAATCTTGGGTGAGAACCTCCTTCCCTCAGCCAGGGCATTGGAAATGGGTCGTGGATGGGTATTCCAGCATGACAATGACCCAAAACACACGGCCAAGGCAACAAAGGAGTGGCTCAAGAAGAAGCACATTAAGGTCC